ACACACACACACACACACACACACACACACACACACACACATACACACACACACACTATTAGCTTGGGAACTAGCACCTTATATTGCCATATAAACTTTAGCTTGGGCGCTAATGACTTATTTATTAGCTGTAAAGCTATTGTAAAACAATGTCATGTATATATTTACTTTACTTTATTTACTAATCCCTTGTATTGCCATATATATTAGCTTTTGAGTTGTCACCATATAAATAAGCTCAGAAGCTAATGCTGTATTTATTAGCTCTAGAGCTAACACCGTGAGTCATTGTATATATTAGCTTAGAAGCTAATGCCATATAATACAGTAGGTTAGGAGCTAATGCTATGTTTATTAGCGCTAACAACTTATCACCATATATACAATAGCTTGGAAGTTAACGCCTTATGTTGCCATATATAGGTTAGCTTGGCAGCTAACWCCATATATCGCAATATATAAGTACATGTATTAGCTCTTGAGCTAATACTATATTTATTAGCTCTAGAGCTATTGGTATATATCACCATATATTCATTAGCCCCAGAGCTAATGCTACCTTTATTAGCCCCTTAGCTAACYCTATATTAATTAYCTCTAGAGCTAATACTATATTAWMTAGCTCTAGAGCTAATGCTATATTAATTGCTGTAGAGCTGATGCTAGATATGCATTAGTTTAGAAGGAAATGCTATATTTGTTAGCTCTAATGCTAACTCGATAACGTAAGTCATCATATACAGTATATATATATTAACGGAAAAGCTAATGCCATGTATACATTAGCGCAGGAGCTAATGCTATGTTTATTAGCACTAACACCATATAATCATATATACAATAGCTTGGAAGTTAARGCCTRARGTTGCCATATATAGGTTAGCTTGGTAGCTAACACCATATATCATACTWTATYAGTATGTATTAGCTTGGGAACTAACACTATGTTCATCAGCCCCAGAGCTAATGCTATCTTTATTAGCTCTAGAGTTAATGTCATATATATATATATATTTTCAGTTGCAGGCTAAGTCTTTTCTACATTTTCCTCTCTGTCAACGCTAATTTCATTTAAAAGAGCTGAACGTCAGACATTGTCCAAAGTGGACAGGGCTTGTACATGGCGACCTAGTGTCATAAATTACCCAGAATGCTTTGCGGCATAAATATATAGCGACTTCTGTGTGTCAATTTGTCTTTTTAATTTATAAAATCCAAACAGCCTTCAGCCTTTTTACAGTCTCGTTTTTATAGTTGAATTAAATAATGTCTAATGTTACAACGAGCGTGAGTTCCTTTAAGGTTAATCATGGCTGTCATTTTAAAAGAGTCAGAGTAGAAACATGTTGCAGTAAAGCTGTTTTTTCTCCTCTGAACCATGAAGAATTTGCCTGTAAATAAAAGCTGAAGTTACGATAACACAGCTGTCTTTATTAATTACTTTAAAACTTAACTTGTGCGTGGATTTCCAGTAATAAACTTCATGCTAATTATGTTAGCGTTTTTATGGTGCATATTACGTTAGCATCTGTTGCTGATCTGCTGCCTGTCATTAATAGGGTCTGTTTATTTATTAGACGTTAATCAATCACATTTATTTCATGGAGAGGGATCTGCTGCTGCAGTTTTAGYACCAAAAGAACCGGTTTGGTGGAACAGCAGCAGGTACTGCAGTTAAATGTTGCACGACTCTGACATTTCAAAAGATGTTTTTTTTCTCTTCACCACAGAAAGATAAACATCGTCTCATATTTGGACAAGCAGCAGGACTTGAAAGTTCATTTTTTGTCTTTGCACCGTGACTCATTGCAGCCCCGCGGCCTTCGTTTCTTGGCTCTCGGCGTTTGAAAAATGAAGCGGTGGCGCAGAACGCTTCGCTTAAGTGGACGTATTCTTCGCACYACGCGCTTTTCCGCCAAACCATCACGGCAGCTGGCACGCTGCTCGCCGGAGCGGCCAACAGCTCCGTTAGCGGTTCCGTGTCGTTTAGCCCGGCCYTCGTGTCGACTCTTTCAGTTTCTGCAGAGTTTGGCAGGTTTCCCTTGATCTGAGTGGGTCCAGATGAGCCTCACCTGAGACAAAGGTGGATKAATTCTAATGGAATAACCAGAAGAGAGCGTGTCGTTGCGCTCGCAGACATCTCAGTCTCCACTCGTGTTTATTTCCAGCTCCGCTCGCGTGTGAGACTTTTATTAATGACCTTTTCTTTTAACCTGGGTCTGCCCCAGAGGCCAGATCTGGGTGAAGAAATGAGTCTGGGTGGAAAATGTTCAGAGCAAACAGCAGGACCTTTCTCACACTAACTAACCGCCCCTTTAATTGCTTTCCAATACTTCAGTCCAGACCTCTGAACTCTCTGATAAATCAAGATCATAGTTTTAAACCTGCGAGCCAGAAAACTTGTCAATTACGAAGCGGTTTGGATCTGTTCACTGATTTCTACTCTTGGCAAACGGGTCGTAATCCTAGAGCTTCCAAAGTGTCGATCAAGCGGTTCTCAATCAAGCTACTCTGCCTCAGAAGGTTTGCTAAACCCGTATAATTCTTCATTCTGTTAGATTTGTGACTTTTAGGGATGCATATTAAAGAGACATGCTTATACTTCAAATWCAAAACGTCAAAGAAAGTACTGTTAAATTTAAGAAACTTGGCATAATACAAACAATTTTACCCATTTTGTCAATTTACTGGCATAATTTCATTTAAACTAGGCTCAGCCAAATTGAAACTCTAAGCTTATTAGCTCCAGAGCTAACACCATATATCACTATATTAGATCATAAGCTAACACTATACATCGCTATATATGCACATTAGCTTGTGAGCTAACACCATATATATCCATATATGCATTAGCTCATAAGCTAACACCATATATTGCTATAAATACATTAGCTTTTGAGCTAACACTATATATATCCATATATACATTAGCTTGTGAGCTAACCCTCTATATCACTATATATACTGTATTAGATCATGAGCTAAAACCATACATAGCTATATATACATTAACTTGTAAGCTAACACCATATATCTTCATATATACATTAGCTTGTGAGCTAACACCATATATCTCCATATACTGTATACATTAGCTTGTGAGCTAACACCATACATCTCTATATATACATTACCTTGTAAGCTAACCCTATATATCACTATATATATTGATCATGAGCTAAAACCATACATTTCTATATATACATTAGCTTGTAAGCTAATATCATAAATCCATATATATACATTAGCTTGTGAGCTAACACCATACATCTCTATATATACATTACCTTGTAAGCTAACCCTATATATCACTATATATATTGATCATGAGCTAAAACCATACATTTCTATATATACATTAGCTTGTAAG